GCACTACACTGGGCACCTGCCAGGGGCTAAATATCCCAGCTGCTTAGATAATTACATATTTATGATTTTGCCGAGAATTCTTAGTCAAAGCTTATTTTTGAACTGTAAAATGCTTAGAGAAACAGCAGAGAAAGTTCTCTGACAAATGCTACTTCAAAAGAGAGCCAACACTTCAATTTTTTTAAAGGATGTTCATTTCCGTTTCAGTTGATTCATTCAGTGGTGAACTTTAATGACAGAAGAAGGAGAAAAGGGTGTTTTCCCTCTCAGTCAGAAAGGAATCTTGCTAGTGTATTTAACTTGCTCTCTGACAAGAAACAGAAAATTCCAAAACCCCTCCAAAAATGGTACAGAATAGTGTACATACAATTTTTAATGCTTACCACAGTTTGCACCCTACCACACGATGGAACTTTGCTTTTTTATCACATTATTGGTAGTATTTCCTCTTCCACACATAAACCACTAGATTAGCTAATTCATGCTGATCCAATAAATAGAATGATGTATGAACAATTTTAAATACAATTGTATAGCCACAACAAATTATCAGACAAAATACATTGCTCTTCACCTTCCTGCATTGATAATAGCATTCACTGATTTCAGAAGGAGCAAAACAGTCCAAAATTTCATGTTGCTGGTTATTTTAGACTATTTCAGAACCTGCTAGAAATAACTTTTTTTTAATCCTTTTACGGCTGCACTCCATAAACTGTACAACCAACAGCCTCAACAATAAATTTCATGAACACTTTTAGGCCCTACTGTTCAAAGTGCTTTCAAGCTTGCTTAGCTTTATGCATGCAAATGCTCCTTATTTATATGGCAAAAGAACTACTCCTACACTAAATGTTACATGTAGGCACATGTATTTGTATTTCATAGAATAAGGGCCTTAGTCTTGCAGGGTTATTTCTTTTGAATCAGTTATTCTAGGTTCTTGAGGACAACATTTTTAGTACTGTCAAGTTTCATAAACTTTGGAAAGCAGGGGTCCTGTTCTCAGTATAATGACAACCAACCTTCAGCTCCACCACCTTACACAGAGCTGCTCATCTGCAGATAGGCATTTTAGATACCTCTAGCTGAGAGATGCCATTCAGCTCCTCTTGAAGCAAAGCCAGTTTTGCAATTCCAGTGCAAAAGCCTTGGAGCTAGCAGCACAGACCTCCAGCTGCCCTTGGCAGGTGCCAGCAGAGACAAGGCTTCCACACCAAACCCAAATGTCCAGCTCATATCCCCTCCCTTAGTTGTCTTCCTTTGCATGGAAGCATTTCAACATGCTGGCCTGGCAGATCAGTATTTGGATGGGTTTAGCTGCTGGGGAAGCACAGGCTAATAGTTATATCCATTTATTCATTCACCTGTCTCCTAAGGAGTGTGAAGGTCACAGGACCTGTACCTGAAGGCACCACAAAGGCATTAAAATGAAAAACAACTTGCTGCAATCTTGGGGAAATTCTTGCACACATCTTCCAGTGCCTTCACTTAGTGTGTGACTTACTCATTCTCCCCAGCTCCTCCAAGCCTTCCTGCTGTTTCTGAGCTAAATCCCCTGTAGGTAATTACACTGAAATGTTGCACCCATGGATTTGCTGGCCCAAGAGACACAGAGCCTGCAGAGCTGTTCTATCCCATCTCTTAAGTGTAGGAAAAGTTGACAGAACACACAATAGGTATGTTACACCCTCCAAACACAGTATAATATGTTCACCTAAAAGTAGGCAGCACTGAAAAGAATGGATTTAAATCACCTGCTTGGTATTCCCCCCAAGACTGTGAGGACATGCCTTAGCTGTTGATAAATCTGCTTGCCTGGGGACTAGGTAATTTTGTGTTCCATCCAGAGACCTTATCTGTGCCAGCTTGTAACAAACAATAATATCCTCTATTCTCCTCTGCACTGGACTTTTTAACTGACCAGGGTGTTGATCTTTGTCAAACTATCCATGTAAAGACTCAGAACCTGGACACAGTGTTTTCCAGGAGGCCTGTAAGAAGGGCACCACATGGCCCTGCTTGAGCCCTTCACAGCCCTTTCTGGTTACCTCTGCAAAATTAAACCCATCCCAGCAAGCTGTCATAGGACAGTCACAAACTGGTAGCTCCCACCCTTCTGTAAGCTCCTGGGTTTTGCACAGTCCATTCTGTATTTCTAAATTTAGATATACATCTATAGGTGTGTATAAATACATGCACAGATAAGCACACTCCTATATTCCCACATTATTTATCTGAATACACACAAACCTGCTTCAGTGACTTGCAAAGGCAGAAAGGCAAACTGGTTTGCTTCCAAAACTCACAAAGAAGCCTTGCAAGACACAATGGAAAATCTCTCTTGGGTAAGCTACAAGTTCCATCACATAATAAGAAAATTTATTTGCAAAAGCCCTTGTTGAAATCCTGATGTCATCTTTTGCTTAGACCCAAGACTTTAAATTTCTATTTCCAGCACATTCATTAATTCTTGTGAGCACAGATTAAGTACCCAGGTATCAGCCTCCACATAAACCTTCAAAATCCTAGAAGAGTAGCAATAGACACTTTCCTGCAATTACCAGGCCTTTTTCATTACGCCTTTGTAGCTTTTCTTTGACATTGTGAGGAACATTAAGTTTGGCTGGAAAAATGGGGAGGAGAACTTACACCCACTGAACACAGCCATGCTCTATCACAATATCAATATTTAATTTTCTAAAGAATTGCCAACAACTACAATAATTTTTAAGGAGTAACTAGTATTTTACCCTATTTGGTTTATCAGTTAACATATATATAACATATGTATACATATCATAACATAATATGATACAAAAAGCAAGCTTCTTTTAATTACTTTGAAAATTAAAAGTCTAAGAAAACAAGAGAAGAGGATGGAGTATGTGCCAAATGTTATTTTGGGGTTTTTTACTACTAAGAAATGGAATTGACAATCAGGATTAAAACATGACGAAAATGCTACAACCATTTCTCAAGGGAATCAGAAATTAATTTCTTATTCAAATGTAAGTGTTGAACATGGGCAACCATGGTTAAAGCAAAGCCTGTTTGAGACACGTACATAACCTGCTTACCTCAGCAGCCTCTGGCCCACATTTTGTTTACACACAGCAAAGACAAAAACATAAAAACCTCTAAAAGTCTTTCTTACTGTACAGGTTTAGTTACAGTTACTTTGGGGATGGTAAAAAATATGTCTAGATTGTCTCTTAAATCTACATTCAAACTATTTCAAAGTTAATCAGTGGTGAGTCATGGTTTAGAAATCTCTTGAATAATAAAGTATAACAACTTCTATCACAAAAACAGCCCTCAAAGACAAAAGTGGGGAGTACTTCACTTCACTGCAAGTAACAGTTGAGTATGTTTTATGATCACTGTAACAACTACCATGCCCTTGAGACTGCAGTTCTGAATTTCTAATATAATTTGTAGGGGGAAAATTAGGACAAAATGCAGTAACATTTCAAGTATAGTCTTACAGTATTTTAAAATTTTATGAAGTATAAGGACTAGGTTAATATGAAATTAGTCATATTTTTAAGAGAGGCAGTAATACAGATCAGTATCTTAAATTATAACTAAAATAACACTCAACCACTACAAAATAAAAAGAAAAGAGTAGCTTTTTGCTGGAAAAAGGTCAACAACAACAATAAAGATTTAACAATACTAGAAAAGGCTGAGAGTGCTGCTTATTTCAGGACTGAAAAGTTAAAATACCAGTCTGAGTGACCAGGTATATGCTATTCTTTCTCACTCAACAAATCCATTCCCACATGAAGTTCATCCCAAATTAATATAAACTCTACTCATACCAACTCTGAGCCTAAAAAACAGACTATTAAACAACATCCATGCTTGGTGCAGATCTTCTGATTTTAGAGGTCTATTTGCTTTACTTTGTAACAAATATATTACATTTCACTCCATCATGTCTTTGGGAGTTAATAGAATTTCTCACTACCTCTAAGTCAAGGAGTTACATCCATGCAGACTGTCTTCGAGCATCATTTTCCTCACAGGGCAAAGACAGTGGAGTTGCAAAGGTGTAAGTGAGGCTGTAATTGATTTACATATTCTTTAGATCCATTTCCACATGCAAACCAAAGGAAACCAGCTCAGCTCTCAGATCCAAAATAGAGTTTTCAAAGCAAAAAGTTCAAACATTATGCCTTTAACTTCTGTACTGAGCACAAGGAGAGATGCTTCAAATACAGAATTCACACTGGCACTTTATGCATTTAATTCTTAAGGCTAATGCTGAAGGTACCACTCTTGTACACCTCAACTGTGACAACACAAGATACCAGAACTGCTAGAAAGAGGTTGTTTGATCAAAGCTGAAGCAGTAAGTTCCAGTCCTTCCCTTCAGGCCTCAGCTCTGCTTTCCATCTGCACAGCTGTCAGGAAGCACCAGCAAACCATAAGCACAGCCTGAAAATATGAATTTGCAGCAGTCTGTAACACTAACATTCAGACATGGAGTAAGAAGATTGCCCCTTTCTACAGAAACTAAGATTTTAACTTCACTGGTCTTACACTGCCAAATGGGCTGAAGTAAAATACACCTGACAGTGCAGAGCTGGTTCTGGTACTTCTTCTGGGAAAAGCTGTTAATATTGAAACAAACTGCAGAGAGCTCCCAAGTGGGGGCAACAGAACACTCAGCTTGGCTACAGCTCACCCCAAACAAGCTCTGGGCCAAAAGAGGAAGCAACACAGTTACCAACAGGATGAGCTATGTCACTGTCAAGTCACTTCTCACTTCAAAATTAACATGCTGCCCTGTTTTCCACAGGATAAAACCAGGTGCAATTGTAATATTTCTGTCAAACAGTGGAATGGTCTAGATGTTCCTTAAAAAATGAAAATAATCCACTTAAATACTAAAAAGTAGTTATTCTAGAAATACTATTTACAGTGTAAGCCTGCTAATGGCATGTGTGCAGAGAGAAACCATGCCACCTTTAGTCAGTTAAAAAGGTACTTACCATTGGCAGTGCATTGATATGCAGAAGTTTTCCTTTCGGGTGCCTCTTGCCACAGAAGGGTGATGCTGACAGGGGAATAAGGAGATAAAATAGGAAATGTTAGTATTTATTATCTTGAAACCACAGCTACTGACATCTAAACACTTTGAAAAGCCCCAGACAAAAATCAACATTCCAGTCGTATGACTTCCAAAATAGTTATATCCACTGTGAAGCAGTAAAAGAAAAATAAATCTGTTTTCCTAACACATCTTGCACTAAATAACTCCATTTATATACACAGGTGTGCCCCAGAGTTACCAACTCCAGCAGTGACCTCAGTGATTAAAAAAAAACACCAGCTCACACTAATTGCTATCAACACTTGACAACATGTAAATAACAGAAATCTTCATAGTGCAAAATTCAAGAGAAATCTTGTCCACCTTTAAAAACCCAAAAAAAAACTTAAGCCAAACAAATCCAACTCTCCTACATTTTAGTAATTTTCTTTACATATCAGTAGTAATTTTATGCGCCCTAAAAGAAAAAACTAAGTATAAGCACACAGATTTTGACATCCAAATATGAGGTAACTCCATCCACTAGAACATTCATTTTTATTCATCTGTGACAAATGATTTTTATCCACACTAATATTCCTGAGTGGTTGCCCTCCATACCAATACTTGCCAGACCACTTTTCTTTAGGACATAATCTAATCACGCACTCAAAGAGCAGGAAGGGTGACAGATGGACATGGGTGACTAATGAAGTATTACCAGACTATTTTTAGATTAAATTCTTTACCAAGCATCTGCAACCTGTGGTCAAAAAACTTTTACTATGAGTAAAGAGTAACTATAGTTTACGGGACTCATGATCAACACGAGGTTCTCACATGCAATTTTCAAGCTCAACCAGCAGGAAATCATTCATTATAGAGCCATTTTCTGACCCAGCCATTAAAAAAAAAAAAAAAAAAAAAAAAAAAAAAAAAAAAAAAAAAAAAAAAAAAAAACCACCAAAAGGCAAAGCTGCAGCATTTGGGCTTATTTTATTCTTAGAAGATCCCACAAGGCAGGCAGTAACATCACCTTCACACAGTGCAAGCAAGAGGCACTGCAGAGGATGCTGAGGAATGCAGGAATGCTGGGAATTGAAAGAATTTGCAAACATGCTCTTATTTCCTTGCTTAGTTGTACTTGTGTTGCAGAAAATATGTAAATAGGCTGAGTGAAACTCCACTCCTCAAGAGGTACAGTAGCCTATGCAAGGCTACTCAGAAAGCTTTTTTTTCCACAGCCAGAGCTGCTGACCAGCTGAGAAGAGAAAGCATTAACACCCACCCTGCAGACCCCATATAAATATTATTTACTTATAACAAGTGTTTTCCTTAAAAGCAGAACAAAACAGCAACCAACCAATATTCTTTTGAGAACAATCTAAATCATGATGAAAGCTGTGTGCAGAGAAATGCAGAGGAGGGCCCTGTTTCTGAGTGCTATGCTTGATTTGGGTTATCCATTTGGGAAGGAACACCGCAAACATAAATAAAGGGATGATTGCACAGACATAAACCATTTTCTTCAAGGAAAAAAAGGCTTTCTTCAGTACACACTGCCCAAACTGTCTCCTTCCAACATCTCTTTGCCCTTGTGCAATCTCTAGTGCAGTATGTATCATCGAAGCCAGAGAGGGAAACCTTTCCGCCTGATCCGTGGAAGAGGCTTCTTGTCCTTTGCTTTACATCTAAACAGGGCAGTGACACGGAAAGAAGCTGGAAGCAAAGACTCAAGAGAGCAGAGAATTAGAAAAGAAAGGGTTCACTGACTTCACTTCATTCCTCACTCAATGTTAATTGGTTGTAGGCTCCAGTTTTAAATAAGGGCGCTTGAAGCGACGTGTAAACATTTAGAAAACTCTGCAATGTCCTTCTTCAGAATCAACTGCTGAGTACAAATGCCTCATCAGCAGCTTTTTTTCCTTTCCAAATTTATCTTACTGGATTTTGGCATGTACCTTGAAACAATGCAGGTGACAGTTATAATTTATTGATTTCAGACTATCTTTCACCTTTATATTACAGCATGTTACAGCGATTTAAACAGGTGGCCAGACGTAGTAACAGCTATTCTACATGACACTTAAAGGGCATCTGGTGGATTATTTTTAAGTTGATAAAGCACACCTGAAGAACGCACAGCAGCTTGTGAGTTTGGATTCTTCATTTTGGAGGGGCTGGGAACAGCTCACCACTGCCTGGTGACTGACGTGCTCCACATCAATTGAAAACTGCTCCCCTCAACTTGAAAAGAAAGATGATTTTGATGAGCACAATGTGTGCTCAGAGCCAGTGCTTACAAGCCTTGCCCACACCAGTTTTTTCTGCACAAAATGACATAACTGATGCCCGTATCCCTCGGAGATTTGGGGCCGAACACAACATCATCTCCCTGTGAAGAGCATCCTACCCTGCTGTGGTGTACAGAGACCAGCCATGCCCCAGGCCTTAAACCCAGGCTGCATGAGCCAGGCAGTTCCCACCTGCAGGGCTAAAACCAACACACCAAACCACCTTCAGCAAAGCAGCAAATACACATCCAGGCTGCTTGCACAGATTGGGCTGCTGCTATCAACCAAGAAATAATTGTGTGGTACCAAGGAAACCACAGATAAAAACAACCCTGGCACCAACAGAGTGACAGATCTGGTTATAAGCACACAGTCCAGATGTGCACTGATGTTAGTCCCTACCGGTTTCCAAACACAATCAGTTCAAAGCAAGGATTTCCTTAAATGCTACTTGCAGAAATGTTTAACCATTTCCTTTCAGAAATGCTGCTATTGGTGCTACTTTCTCCTTCCCAGACATTATACTGGGTTTGTGTTACGGTTAAATCAGTGTTTTTTGCATGAGCTTTGAATTGCTCCTGTTCCCCATGTGAACTTGTGCTTCTTTCTAATCCTCTTAGGATCACACTGTTTAAACTACTTTCTGACATTTTGGTGCTATTTGATTTTAACAACAAATTTCGCCACTAGATGTTGTGCCTTCTGAATCACAAAAGCCTTCTAAGGACACAGTCTCTTTTCTTCTAAATTATCCTTGAGTATGCTGCTTTTATCTGAATTCAGTATCTGGAAAAAGTGTCCCAATCAAAACAGAATTAAAAATAACTAAATCCTGGATATTCCCTTCAGTAACTAGGCTGCAAAAAACCATGAGACAATAACTTTAAAAGCCTAAATTGAAAACTAATCACTCCATTGAATCCTTCCTTTCATTTGGTTAATAGGCACATACAAAGCTAATGGTGATTCTACTACTGCTGTGCTTGGAACATAAACAGAGAAAACCAAAGTTATTTCTTTTAATCACAGTTCCACAGTGATGTATGACAATTTTTTTAAAGCAATTCAGCACATTTACAACAACATCTGCTTTTCAGTTCTGACAGAGAGGCTAAACTGAGACAAATACCAACTTAGAAAATTCAGGAGAAACAAATACATGCAAGTGTGTACTGGGGGGGGAATCAGCAGCACACACAGGACATCGTTAAAAAGTGTCATAACTTGAAAGTGGTAGGCAGCAATAGAGTTCCTAGTGACAAAATAACATGCACAGACTGCTCCTGTACTTCACTCAGGAGCATGGTGTAGGTGAGGTTGCCTTACAAAAAGCCTTGAGAGTATCTAAGACCTTCCCAGAGACATATCCACACAAATTCCTAAACTCTACCTGAAACAGCTCTTCTCTGTCAATTTAGTAATTTTTATTTCCTGATCTTTGTTCTTTTATCTTTATTCCATCAGAAATATAGAAAAACCTGATGTAAGCTGACCTTCCAGATGTTTGAAAGAAGAAATGCTTAACTTGTACATTAGTATCACATTAAAGCTACACAACTTTCCATACGTCAGGAATACTCTTACTTAGAATAAGCACCTGTATGTCCATGGACACATATTAATCAATGCCCAACATCAACAAAGGGTATCTGAGGGGATAAAGAATAAAAACTGAGCAAGCAGACAGAGAGAAAAGTATTCTGGAGAAAAGTTCATCCAGACACAGCAACCACTCATTGCAAACCCACAGAAACAGGATTCTCTGTGCAATGAGAAACACAGGACAAGTCAGACCAGAACAGAACAATACTGCAGAAATTTAAACACCAATTTCTGTAAGAGTCAAGAACAGAGGCAATCACAGAAAACAGCTCATAGCCAACTGAAAGGGAAGGAAGCTGAATTGCTGGAGAGGAAACCAACTCAGCCAACTCCATTAAAGCCAATAATGCACCCCAGTAATCTTGTCAATACCAATCAGCTGGTAGGAAGGCAAGCAGCGCAGCAGCACCATTTCACTTGCAAGGCATTTAAATGAAATTCATTAGCAAGTAATCCAATTCACATAAACTGGAAGTTAGAAGGTCCTAGAGAATGAAGTTAAACCCAGTCTAGACTGGGAAAGAGTATAAAGAGTTATTACCCAAAGCACTCTTATGCCAAAGCACCTTAAAGCACTCACAAAACCCTACCTGCTATCTGCAGGATGGGGGTGAAAATTCAAGACAGTTTCCAATTTGTGGAGTTTTTCTTCCAAAAATAGTGGACATAAGGACTACTGACATATTGATCAAAACAGTAGCACATTGGCAAATATTTTTTCTGTGTTTATAGTCTTAGAACTGAGTTTTAAATTTAAATTAATTGCTGGAATATTAATCAATAATAAAACAACTTGTCAAACTGGGTGCTCTCAGCAAACACACTTCAAATAGGAAAAAGATTTTTCCTTCTCTAAAAAAAAATAAAATGTGATGTGTAACATTTGGGGGCCACTCTGTTATTACAGATTTCAAATATATACCTAAAACATTGAACCAAAACACAAAAAAAAAAAAAAAAAATCAGATTTTTTTTTTCCATTCCCTTTCCTCAAAGTAAGAACTGACGTATTTTCCATGATACTAATTCAGCTTTATCCAGCTCACTAAACCAATTCGGCTGCACTGGTGGGGTGAGAACCATTCCCTCCTCCACTCAGAACTCAGTCCAGTTAACTCAGATAAGCCT